CCCTTCCCTCTTTCAAAATTTATATTCTTCCAATGCATGTGCATATATTTACACACATACATGCACATATTACGTAATTACTTAAATGTAGCTCATTCTAATTTGAAGTGACACATTGACCGTTTGATTTTTCTCCCAAGTTCGGTTGTTAGTTATGTATTTAAATTCAGTACCACTGCTTCTTGTATGCAGCAATAATTTGTGAGGAATTAGTTTACGCGAACGAATTCGCATTCGCTCTTTCTCACCTCTGTTATTCGCTATTATAAAGAACATTGTAAATGTATGCTAAATGTGTAAATTGATTTGAAATGAACGTCGAAATTTTTCAAGGAAAAAGAAAACCGCATATAAGTGAAACCGTGTTATTCGAAACCTCGTTGTTCAAGGGTACACTGTATATTCAATGAATTTTATCATATTCTAGGCAATGTCCACCAAGTTTGCAAGCACACTTGGTTCATCAAGTAATTCAGGAAATTAAATCCATGTGTAAGAAGCAGCCAGAAGATTGTGGATTTAAATCCCAAGAAAAAAGTAAGTCTCTTAGTAATGAATATAATTTTTTATTCTAGGTGGTAAGAAGAGCATCTTTGACAATTTATTTTCATCTTACAGCTTATACTTCGCTAAAATTAATGCAAGCTATTACTGGCAAAGTTAATGAGATATGTATTCGCTATCTGGACAATAGTAGATTGGCACTATTGCCACCTCCTCCTTCAATACCATTGCCACAAGCAGTAGCTGTTGGAACTAAAAATTGTAGAAGAAAAATGGAAGATCGTCATGTAGTTTTGCATGACTTACATACTATATTTGGTATTGAGGTACATGTAAATACTAAACTTTTTCTAGTAGATAAATGAAGATATACAAATAGTGAATCTTTTATTACAAAGATATTTTTTTAATTGTAGCACGATTCAACAGCAAATTACTATGCAGTATTTGATGGACATGCAGGTCAAGATGCAGCTGTATATTGTGCTACTCATTTGCATCAGTATTTAGCAGAGAATATATATTATCCTACTGATCCAGAGCAGGCTTTACTCAATGCTTTTCTTACCACAGATGCACAATTTATAGAGAAGTCAGAAGTACAAGTAAGAGACAAACATTTATGTCCAAATAATATATTTTCTAAGTAAGCACATAATGTATAATTCTTATTTCTAATAATGTTATTATTTTTTCCAGAAAGTATGTGGTGGAACTACTGCAGTTTGCAGTTTAATATTAAATAAAAATTTATATGTTGCCTGGGTAGGAGACTCTACAGCTACACTGATAAAACGTGACAGTGTTGTCCAATTAGTGAAACCTCATCGACTTAATCGTACAGTAAGTACATACCACATCTTCTTTACTATATTTAACTTATACTTCGAAGAACATGATCATATAATATTACATGTTCATATTCTGGACTCCGTATTCTTATACGAGTTGTATATATTCCTGGAGAGGGTGCTCCAGGGTCAACATTAATAAAATGCCTATCGTAACAATGTTTAAATCGAAGTCCTAATTTTGGGTCTATAATTGGTTGATAATTTGATGTTTTATTCAAACACGTTTTCCCTGTTCTCCAATGATAATATGCCAGATCAGATGTACATGGCCATATCTTCTTTTTTCCTTGAAAATATGGAAGCCAATTTTCTTTTTCAAGTCTGTCACTAAAATCAATGTAGCCAGAAACCTCAAACTGAAGTTTTGTCAAATTTCTTATGAATATAATGGTGGATATAATCTTCAACCTGTTTGAACGTTCTCGGAGTGCTAATTCTTCTAGTATATTACTACTTGGTGTCACTAATTCTGATGTTAACTCATATGGTTTATAAATTGGAAATAGTAAATCTTTCACAGCTTTCAAACGGCGATAGAATGTATCTTTACTGAGTGTTTCACCTGTGCAACGATACCCAAGCTCAGCTAATTGGCGTGCAATACTAAGATTTCCTAAATATCCCAGATCGACAAATGTTACTAGAGAATCCAAATAATCTTCATAAGTTTCAAATTCCAATAATCTTTTATCACTATTTATTTGTGTGCCTACAACCGTCATTTTTAAATTTAATTGTTTAATTCACAAATTTAACAATGATGTAGTAATATTAAGGTTTACTTTTTAATTTAATGATTTCTTTGACAGAAAATTAAAATTTAGATTTTGTGTGTTTTGTTTGAAAAACAAGTGATATTTGACAGATATAATGTGTTCTATCAGAAATTTATAATAAAGTATTCAAACAATATTCATTTTTTTCCCTAGGATGAAGTGAGAAGGATAAAAAGAATGGGAGGAGTAGTGCAGTATAGCATGGGGACGATGCGAGTTAATGGAACACTAGGCGTTTCAAGAGCAATAGGTATGTCAATTTTATTTATTTACTATATCATAAAAAATATGATTTATAGTAAACTTACAATTAACATAGTTATTAATTTTTAAAAGTATTATCTATTTTGAACAAATTGATAAAATTCCACTATTAATATTAACACAGAATATATAAAACAAAATTGAAAGTATTGTAGCATATTCTTTATTAGACTATTCTATTATAAAGTTGTATTATTCTAATACATTAATATTAAAATTTCCTTTTTCCCTCCTTTTTTTTTTAGAACTAACAAAGGAAGATCCCGAGGTGTAACTCTCAGAATTTAACGAGCTTCGGCACAATAATAGAGCTTGAAAAACTAAAGCTACTGATATCCGGTTTGGGGTGCAGATGGTTAATAATTTACGAGATATTTAACGTTAAAGTTTTTACCTCCGTTAATCTTTTGAAGTCTAAGCATGTATTAGCAGAAGGTTGGTAAGATGCCAGGCTGTTGGAAGGCTGTTCTTTCTTGTTGCAGGTTTAAATCTTGTTGGAGTGATTTTTTCAATGTGCTCCACTATTTGTAACTAACCTTCAAATATTTTTTTTTAAACATTGCAATTTAATTGTTATTACAATCATAGGATGTACATTAATCTGGATGATATTTATTATAAAGACATTCCAAGCATACAAAGTGTAAACACCATGTACAATGTATGAAAGCTTTGTTATCACATCCACAAGTTTTTGTCTTTAATTCAGTTGGGAATGCTGCCTAGTTTACATTAACGAAATGTTATCGGTTTTTTGACAAAATTTTAACAACGAATTTATATGATTATAATAACAATGAAATTGCAGTTTCAGAAAAAAAAAAATGGAGGTTAGTTACAAATAGTGGAGCACATATGTATTTAAAAAAAGTTATATATATATGTATTAAAAAACAAAGAGTAACATCTTGAAAAAATCATTCAAACAGAACTCGAACTTGCGACAAAAAGAACAGCCTTCCAATATTCTGATGTCTTATCAATCTCACCACAACCCCTTCTGCTAAAACACGCTTACACTTAGAAAGATAAACGGAGATAAAAAGTTTAACGTCAAATATCTCGTAAACTATTAACCGTCTGCAACCAAAGTCGGATATCAGTAGCTTCAATTTTTCAAACTCTATCATTGTGCCGAAGCTCGTTAAAATCTGCGAGCTACACTTCGGGACCTTCCCTTGTAGGGCAATTATTGGTTATGATCATGTGCATAACTTTATATGCACAAAATATGTCATATGACAGACCATACAATTAATTTGCATTTGTAGACTTGCTTAAATGTCTAGATTAATTTTTTGGGCCTGCTTACATTATATTCTGTTACTATACAGTACTTGATGTTATAACATTTAAAGAAATAATGTTGACTTGGAACAAAGAAATTACGCTTTTTCAAGGCGTGGTCGTGCATTGCTGATTTTTATTGATATATTTCTAATGAATTTAGTCCTGTTCTGTATACTCACATTCTTCGATATATATGAAGCAGGACACGTTAGTATTCACTTGCACGATCAATTTTATTTTCAATCTGTCACTTCACGAATTTTCGTCTCCTTTCACGGTTGTTACAAGAAAGCTAAATGTCGATAGATGGCGACGCAAGTACTCTTTCATAATTGGTCTACTACATCAGACGCATGTGCTTCTTCGATCGGTTCATTTCGAAATGCATAGAGCATATCGTAAAATTTAGTTTATTTAATATATTTCTGAAAGAATTGCTTTGTACTCAACAATAACAAATTTATTTCCACAAATAATGATTTCTTCTCTTTTTAATAAAAAGATATATAAAAATGAAACAATACAAATGTAGTATTAATTATAGGAAACCTTGTATAACATAAATATTACAATGCAGTTAAAAAGACGCGTAGAGGTTATATTTAATCATAACAAATAAATTGAGATAATTTAGTGACTGTTAAATTAATAATTTAAAGAGATAGAATCTAATACTTTTTTGCAGAAAATGGAGAACTTCGCCAACCAGTATATTCAATAATACGAGATGTACAAAAGTGTATAAAAACAGCATTAAAATATGCATCATTTAACACAACGGAATGTTGTTTTGCAAATGATTCTTTTCTATCTCCAATTGTTTCAAAATATAGTTCGATTCATTTGCGTTAAACACCTATGTAATGTTCTATTTTCTTTAAAGTACATATTAAAATTTATTTTACAAACCCAAGAGATCTAAAATGATCTGCCTTAATCGTGTAACTACTTACATTGATCGATGAAGAATTGTCGAATGAATGAATTATTTAAGCAATCACAGTATGTTAGAAACGAAAACGGTGGACAGAATATTTTATTCTTGATGTAGATATCGATGAGTTCTCATACTTTCTTAATTATTTTATTGTGTCTGGTTCTTGTAGACTTGTTTTTGCGGTTTCTGAAACTCGATTCTATTATCATCCCGACAAGCAAGTTTCAAACTACCTGTATATCAAGTATTATTTATTTCTGTTGCATATCACATTATTTTTTGTTTAAAAATATATTAATATTTTTAATATATCCGTCTAAAGAATTTCCGAGCAGGCATCTTTTCCACAACACACTGATATCACTATATTTGGCGACGTTGGGAATTATATTGGGCGACATTAGAACTTCAAATAGTTTCAGAAATTTTGTGACAGATGGAAATTATTAGACGACGATCTACTTCTGCTGGCTGCTTCAACACACATGCAAGTGGCACTACGATTAAGAAACTATGGGCGAGGAAGATTATGGCAATGAATTAGTATTTTTAGTACACATCAATAACGAAATGATAAAGTGTCGAATAGATAGGTGCAAAATAAAAAAAAAAAAAACAATATCGAAAATATAGATTATCCTCGTTGCACTTTTTTATTTCCACATTGTTTAATTTACAAAAGATCTGTTCCAGTGGGTTCTATCGCGACAGTCCGTTATTACATACATTCCATTCTTAGTTGGCTTATGCAACGCATCCGTTGTATGAGACCTAAGATACAGAAAAATCGCAACTTTTGTCTTTTAAGTGTCGACAATACGCTGGTGCATGCTGTGAGGATCATTACGTAATTCTTGGCGAAAAACGCAAGTGCCGGTGCTTGTTCACATTCCCTAAACTCACTTGATCTGGAACTATAGCAGAGTTTTTTTTTTTAGTCCTCAAATTAAAGCTGACCCTGAAAGAAATAGGATATGCGGTGTGAAAGAGATTCAAGTGGCTGTGAGGACAGAGTCTGGCAAAATTTTCGTTAACGAATACACAATCAGCTTTCAGTGCCTTCCTCACCGAATTCAACAGTGCGTGCAATTTTATGGAGGTTATGTCAGTTTGTTTACTTTGATTTTTTGATGCTTTACTGCACTACTCTAGACACCTGGTGTCTACTCTAGACACTGTGAACTCTGTTCCATGCGTATTTCTTTTATTGTCCATGCTTAATAATATAAACACGAACAGAAATAGAAGTTTCGTATCTCGAAACTTGCAGTTAATACACGGATACCTGACGAATCTTCGAACTAATTTTTCTCGAAAACGAAGCCTTAAATGAAAAAATATTATACCTTTTTTTTCACTTATTTTTGCATGTAGAATCACCAGCCGACCGGATGTACCACGATTTTTGGGACATCCTGCATTTCAGAGAGGAAATTGTTTTTAATGTGTAACTAATTTCAGAAACATCCCGTGTAATCACAATTACAGTTGAAAAATTTGAATATCACTTAAATATCTCGCGTTGACGATACGCGTTGGAATATTGTCGCGGTAAAACGTAATTTAAAGGTTCGTCAGGTAAATTTTGATCGTCTTGACGGGATAAATTGATCAGGCAAGAGTCACGTGTTTTGCGAAGAAACCAAGTAGGGAGAGTCGGCGTGTACTAACAGCTGGCCAATTATGGTTTAGGTATCGCGAAGCAAAGAAAAGAAAAAATTCTGGACGCGTGTCAAATATCCTGTTGGTTCCGTTCGACCGCTGACACAATAATACGTGCAGCCATGCTTCGAGCAATGCACACTTTACTGGGTGGCTTCTACAATCGCATGCCCGGAATAATTAACAGCCTATTAAGCCGTTTATGCATCACGAAATGACGTGTGATTCGAACGTCTGTCGGCTGTAGGAATTTCTCTTTGTCATCGCGAAATTTCTATAGGTGACACTTGTCGCAGATTCACATTTCGCGATATCCAGTACCGACTCGATGTATTTGCCATTTCCTGATACTTGGATAATTAACACGAACCGAGTATTTATTTCAGTTTCTACTTCAAGTCGATAGAATTTTTTATTTTCGCGTTAATTTTTGCTTCGAAGTGAGCTATGTTGTTAATAATATGTGGTTATTACTAATAAGACGGTTCACTTCAAAGAAAAGTTAGCGGGAAAATGAAAAATTCTATCGATTTGAAGTCGAAACTGAAATAAATACTCGGTTCATCTTAACTGCACGAGTATCAGGAAATTACGAAAATTATAATAACTTAATAATAACAAGTATGTATAATAAAATGTACATTAAGTTATTATACATTTGAACAAAAATGTGTAATTTTTTACCTTCTTTATAATATTATGAAATATCTAATTTCGTCAGGTAGATAATGAAATTTCCTGTAATTTCTGCTCACATTAAATGCGATAGTCTTCGTAGGACGACAAAATTTACTTTTTCAATTAGTGTTTATTCTTCGCCAGCCTTGCGCTTTAGCGAATTTAGCCAGAGGTTCGTTAATTCAACGTGATCGAATTTCAATTGTGTGTAATCAATCTACATCTATCACAATGGTGCTCGTTATGAAAAATGTACTCGAATGTGGCACAAAATTGGCAAGATTTGGTTGTACCTACAGTCGGTCACAGAAGTATTCGAACACTCTTTAAAACAGAATAACATTTTCAAAATTGGACTAAACGACTTGAGTTTCTTTTTGAGAAGTTAGAAGGATCAGTTTACTAGACAACGTGTACAAAAAAATTTGAAAAAATTAGAATTGGTCGGAATCGCGAAGAAAATAGCGAAGGTCGCTTTTACAATTTTCTTATTGGAGCCTGTAATTAAAATTTAAAAAGTACGTTTCGTAGATTTATGCCAGTTATATATATATATGCTGAAAATTTCATCGAAATCTATGACCTACGAACGGTTAAAAACTGTGAAAATTGCATTATTTCACGACATTCGGCCTATAACCGTAATAAATCTGAAGATTCTTACATTTTTTTTTACATCTGTCGCTTGTTTTTGCATCGACCGATTTCCATGAAATTTTCAGCATGTACATATAATACATATATTGTAACACATATTTACAGGCCGCCAGTATTTAAGGCATAGCGTGTAAAATCCTATTTATATGTCTCCGGCATTTCACGAACAGGCAACAAAAACCATATTTTATATCTCCGGATGGTAATGTGTTAAGTGATGTCCCTCGCCAGTTCACATTTCACCTCTGCTCAATCGTTAATTATAAATAAGTTAGACATAATAGCAGCTTTAGCTGCGCCTCGCTTTTACTCCTGTAAAATGTGTAACAAAGACATAGTTGTAGTTGTTGTTATCATCTGAATACTTTGTGTCTGTCTTTCTTATGACCATAAACTTTTGTTTGCTACTGTAGATATATTTATTTAGTATAATTTAGAAGTTGTTTTAGAGTTAGGTGATACAAATTCGAAAGCTTTTAAGACTGTTAAACAATGTTTAAGCGTAGTCAAAACTGAAAGAAATATTTCACAAGTCTTTCACAAGTCTTTAAAAAATTGTGATTTGAATTGATGTTCGTTGAATAAACGATTCTTTGATATGAAATTATCAGTGGTGCTGGAAGAAAATCGAAGGACACGAAAGAGGGAGAAAGAGAGAATTTCATTCCTCGTGACGTGCAATTTTATGGAATTCAAGATAACTGTTACAGTTATCCATTACACGTAAGCGATGGTTTTTACATCTGTAAAACACGCGACGGTGAAGCGTGGGGAGTATCAGTATTCAACTAAACTGTAATTAACTTTAATTATCTATTTAATGAATGGCGCAGCTAATTTAAATAATGACACCACCATAACATAGACGCTTCCGGCTATTATAAATTAACACGTTTTTTTTTTTTTCTCTATCAGTTTACCACAACTGTGAATTAAGCTCTGTACAGCTAATTATTAAGTAAACATGAAAATTCAAAAATAGAAAAAGATTAATTTGTATTTTTCGTTGACTTATCGTAAAAACGTGTAAGGTATCTGAATGAATTGTTATATTAGTAAGCGAAATTGTTATTAAAAATACTCTGAAGTATTACATTGAAAAGTTAACTATGCAAGTTATAAAAAAAAAAAGGAAAAAAAATAACCTGTAAAAAAGAATCTAGTGTGCAGTATTTTGCAGTATAATCACATAAACGAATTTTTATTGATAGAGAATCGATATAATAAAGAAATACTTATATAGGAATTTAAGTAAATGTTATTGCGAACAAATAGTAGATTTCGTTGAATTTTTGGCTGCATTTAAAAAGATAACTGCCGCACCTGTGGTGTAACTACGAGAAAAATGAAACGAGAAGCGTGTCTCTGCGAGCTACGCAGTTACAGTTTCACGGTATGTGTATGCGTGAATAATATGTATGTATATATATGTACACAATCGAATGATTGAGTTAATTGAAAATGGAGGAGAGCCTACGTATAGCTAATTAGATTAATTACTGCAACAATTTCGTTTTATCGTATCCTAAGTTTATTTTTCTTGTAATAAGATGTGTTATAGCTATGAAACAACAAAAAATTAGTTTTTTTTACTGTTGTCTCCCTGAGACATATACATATTCTATCCTTCTCTGGAAAATGCAGTGTCCACTCGCGAGAGATACCCTCGAGAGCAACTCGCGATAGTTTCACTCTGAAAAGGACAGCTAGCTTTATGTTTGTCTCGATGTACGTACAGCGACCCAGGCTCGGGTTTCTTATGTTTGGCTCGCAAGAAATATCACGAGTTCTAAGAAGTTAAGGCCTAGAATTTTTCCCAGAACAGTTGCGAGCGTACAGCGATCAGATATCGGGTAGGACGACTCGTCCTCAGTCGATGTTTACGAAGCAGTCGAACGAGTGCCTCGACGAACGTCGCTTATACTGCGCGATTATAGTCTTGTAGGGAATACATCGAACAACGCGTTTTCGATTATACGCGGATTTCCAATCAATTTACGTACTTAGCATATTCGTTCGTGTGAATTAAGTGCACCGAATTCAAGTACACAACGAACAGCTCAGCTTGGGAGAAAAAT